GTAAGCAAGTTGAGTGTAGAAAGCACATAAAAAATGTTTTTTTTTAACTCGTAAGTTCATGAAAGTTTGAGTACACTTATTTTTCCTTTTTTTTGTGAAGGGTCCACAAGGCCGCAGAGGACCTCCTGGATCGAAGGTGAGTGTCTTATACTTGCACATCTGTGAAGGACCCCTCATTATATACTAATGAGCACTCATTTGCTTTATTTATACCAAGAAAACACATTATGTAATTATTTCTCGAGGTACATTTTTGTGAATGAATATAATGTTTATTTTAGCTTTTTTATTATTACACTTAGTGTTTGTTTGATTTTAAGCACATTTGTCATAAAAAATAAGCATTCAATGTTTTATTTTGCTTTACTTGGCAAAGGCTTGATTGCCATTGAGGATTTGTGCAGGCTCAGCACATACATAGGTTCAAAGAAACATACTTTACACAGAGCCAAGTAGAGTAATGCCTACTGGCACAGATGAGTCACATCACATTCAGCTGTGAAGGCGAGATGCTGGAAGGCAAGTGGTGATTTGTGGAACGTCATTCTTAATTCAAGTTGATGCTCTTCTTCTAACTGCTGTATGCCAAGAAGAGCAAACTTTCGAATAATTATTAAAATAATGTTGCACTTTTGAGTTTTGTTGTGGACAAAGTCACTATGTAATAGCATTATACTGTTTAAAGATATTAACAATATATAGATCTATATATATAGACATATATACTCCAATTATGGAAGTATGATAAAAAAAATAAGTTGTATTAACTAAACTTTACAGTACTAAAGCAGAAAGTATGCTAATCGCAGAGACAGTAGTTTCCTTTTAAATGATGTTTCAAGGAAAACCCCAATGCACTAAGGCAGCATACCTGTGTTGTAGCATCTGCGGTACAATGTGGTACAATGCATTAGAAAAAGGGTCATGTGCGATTCTAAGCATGTCAGGATTCATTGGCAGTGTATTCATTTCAAATGGGCTGCCTTAGCCCAACGCATGTTAATGCACCACAAAGATGTAAAAGGGTCCAAACACATAAAGGCAATAGGTAATTAGGCCAACACTGACCAACTAACTCTGTTAAAGCACACATTTTTGAACTATTAGCAGCATACTAATTTTAAGCAACAACACAAACAAGGGTGCAGTCACCAGGTAGGTGACCCCCAAAAGGCCCCTCCAAAAAGGAAATTATACATTACAGTCACCGGGTAATGCAGGATAAAGTAAAAGGCAAATGTCTGTTTAAAGACGCCTTAAACACAAAATGCCTCTGTACATAGTACATCAGGGAAATACTACAAACTGCAACGAAAATCTAAAAAGAAATGAAGCAACTGGACAGTTCAGATATGACATTTATTAATAATAATTGAAATAAAAGAGAACCTACAAAAGAAGTGGAGATCAATAACAAAGAACCACCACTTGGCAAGTAAATTTCCATGGACGATTCACTCTCCCTCCATGGAAGTCAGCATATAGAGGGCAGAGAAACTTACTCTGACCTGTGTGTTCTGGTCACAGCCACTTGTAGATGAAGAGACCAATGCAACTCACATAGTAGCTCAACGTGACAGCTTCCCATCTTAAACATTCAGAGTCTGAGGTGGAACCTCAAAACATGTGGACAGTGTATCCAACTAATATAGCAATAAGGTGAATACTCCCAACAGTGAGTTTATTAGAAATCTGGAACAAATAAAAATGATTGAGCAGTTAATTGTAGTAAGAAGTGATGAATAGGCATGAAAGGTAGAGGCAAAAAAGACAAAATCTAGCAGTCAAAGTTGGAAAACCAAAAAAATATAGCAAACTTCCTAGGAAAAATTAAGTGAAGACAAAGAATATGAGCCAGAAGAAAAAAGAAATACTACAGGTTAAAGTTCATATAAACTTTCAGTTTACATCAGCTAAATACATTCCAGGTGCATTAAAAAGCTGTACAACGTCTTACAGTTGTCAGGCACTGTTTGCTCTTCTTTGGTGCCTTCTAATGACCAAACCTGTTAACATCATCATTCTGCAACTACTGGCAAAACTTCTGTTTCTGTTCATCCTGCTCTCAGTGTTCCTTGACCTGGTTCAGCTGACTACCCGCTTTGGCATCTGACCTCTAGCTTGGCACTGATGATGTCCTGCACTTTCTATATAGTTTTTTGCCATTTATGTTTATTGTTGTTTTGAATAAAATCCATTAATTTTTATAAACCTGCACTTTAAGTGTCTGTCTGGTTTTCGTGGCCCCCTAACAACAGTTGTTTTTTCTCAAAACCACCCGATGCTGAGTCATAGCTAGAGCTCTCCAATCAGCAGGGAGCATAATATTTGCTGATTAGAAGTTCTATCTTAGACTCAGCAGGGTGTGTGTCAGATCTCTGCAGAGAGATTACTGCTTTCACATAGGGAGTAAGGCCCTTCTCTACATTATACTTGCAGAGGACAGGATTTTCGCAGAATTAAATTGAATGTTCAGTAGGGCTTTAATTTTTCTAGTCCTGTATATTCCACAGTGTGCTTCTTATCTAGGGTTCTATGTTCTATGTGATCCTGCTATGCTGTATGTTTCTGTGTTACTGTATAAATAAAAACATACACAAAAAAGAAATGTTAGTAAACTAACCCCAGCACATTATATTTTTTTGCATTTACAGAACTAATTCCAGAGTGACTAAAACATTGCTGAAGTCAACAGCAACAAATAGATATTTGATTTCATTTTGCAACTTTCGATTTTGTTTCCCAACAGTATTGTATAATACAATAAGTAAATTATAATTATCATAACCAAATGGAACCTTAATTTTTAGCCTTTTTTTTGTGCAGGGTGAACAGGGAATTCCTGGGCAGCAAGGAAACCCAGGAGAAAATGGACTTCAAGGCATACAGGTATATTGTAGCAATTAAGCTTTTCTTATCTAAAAAATTCAGACCAACATTCTATTTACTGTACATTAGTAATTCTATGGTACATGTAATGGATTTATATATTAGTCACATTCGATCATAACAAACTTTGACATGCAAAGTAAACTACAGTTTAGGTGATGATGAGCAGTAGATGACGTGATGCATAAATGCATGCCATTATATAGTTTCATCTACACGTTTTTACCATTCCTGGTGCCTGTCTGACTTCCATCTGATGTATGCATATGTCTGACTAAATATTACGTAATGATTAATAGATTACTGTAACATGTTTTTTCTACGTTTGTTTTAAGTCATGTGTGCACAGATATGACGTATATTAACTTGTACTGTATGAAAGTCACATATAAATATATGATGTCATATTAGATGTATAGTTTCAGTAAGACATATATAAATAGTTTACACAGCTGTGATATGTAACATTATTTTATGTATAACTCATCTTAGTTTTGACCTCTTATTTTTAGGGCCCCAAAGGTTTATCTGGTCCACCAGGATCACGGGGAGAGAAAGGGTTACCAGGACCTCAGGTGTGTTAAATAGTCTTTTAATAGCATAACTGTTATTCAGGGTGTTAAAATAGTTAATAGCAAAATAAAAAAGTCATACATGATGCAATCCGTAGGTCACAATAACACATCCTCTTTCATATGTTTATTATCTGTTTATCTTGCCAGTACATCCATTATTTTCCCCTTCCCTTAACAGGGTGACAATGCTGTTCATTTTGTTGTGAAATGATGCAGCTGCATTGCAACTCTGAGTTGATGTAGTTTTAAATAAACTATAAGTAAGTGACAAACAAAATAAACCACCTCTCCAGCTATTACAAAGTAAGAACAGCAGCAGTGTTTGGTTTTTTTGGAGGGGGAGGGGGGGGGGGGGGTT